GCGAGGTGCTCTTTTCATCAGGGGTTTTGTTGCACGTTAGTGGCCCAAGCCCGCGTTCTTTGCATCGAAGGACCTTCAGGTTTTCCAGCGCTATGGGATGAGCGCATCGTGGGTGTGCCGAGCAAATGCAGAGGCGTTTGCTTTATGGGAGGCGTGTGGGCACAAACTGAGGATGAGGAGCTGCGTGGTGCAAAGGTTGGGCCCTTCTCTGCTGCTGGTGTGAGATAAAATGGCTGAGGACAGCAGTGGCCAAGTGCTGGGTTTGCACAGGGCACAGCTCCCCGGACACACCTCAGGCAGACACTCCTCTGCATCCCCACTGTGCCCTGGGAGCTGGGAGTACCATCAACTCCTCAGCAGACCATCAAAACTCCCATAAAACCACCCCAGGGTTTATGGCAGGCCCAGTACAGCAACACCCAGCCCTGCTCAGTGCCAGCTGGCAGGTGAGGTGTGGGTGGTGGCCTGGTGCGAGGCACGGCTGTGACTGCTCCGTCCCCACACAGCCCCATGCCGCAGCTGCCTGGGACTGGCTCCCGCTGTCACGTCTCATCACACAACGGGCTCATGGTGCCCAGCGTGCCAGCGCGGGACCACTCGGCTTCACCCCACCTATCCTGAGCTACAGCTCTCTGCTTCCATTTTACACACCCATCAGAAAATCTAAAAATAGACGGTTGGAATCAATCCTATTTCAACTTCTCAGATCACTATCAAGAATTGGCCTGATTTCTCAGAACCGTTCCTAAAGCAAACTCTTAGCTCTACATCCCCATATTTGGGGTTTGTTTTCTTTTTAAGCGGGGAAACTTAGTCTGTGTGTATGTGCTAGAGCAGTAGCTGGAATGATATCTTCACTTTTCCCCAATGCTTCACACACATGCCTTTTTAACTAGAGTTTTCCTTGCGATTGTTAATCCTGGAGCAGGAATTTCCTATTGCATTCCTCATGGCTAGAGAGCAAGAGGGAGAGGCTGTTTTTTCTCTAGCAGTATCCTTTCCACCCTTCCTGTTTATATAGCATTTTTGTTGAACAGGACAGAGCAGTTTGACAGTGACTTTGCCTGAGCTGTAGCTCCCTTGCGCAGCCTTTCAGGACGGACTTTCCTTCACCTCCTGGCCTGGGCCGAGGAGCAGGTTGGGAAGGTTGGGCCAGCGCCAGGGCTCGGCTGTGACACTGCTGCTTCCCTGCTGCACCCAGAGCTGCGTGGCTCTTCTCCAAGGCTGGGACACACTGGGGAAAGGACCAGACACACATTAAAACCTCTCTTTCCAGAAGGGAATAGAGGCCTTTCTGAGATACAAACAGCTTGATGGACCAAAGGGAGGTCTTGGAACACTGAATTTTCCAAAGCCTCCCTGGTCAGCCTTTAGCGAGTAAGAGATACGATGGATACATCAGTGCCCTCTTCATTTATCTGATGGGAAGGCCAGGCTCATCCTGATTCATGGCTTTCAGCATTACCTCAGGAACAAAAAGGTGATTTTCACAGGTGCCAAGTCCACACAACCTGACTTACGAGTCCATGGGCAGTGGCCCTAAATGCAGGAACCACAGGATTTCTCCTTGTAAGAACGGAAGTGCAAGATGCAATGTCAGCCTCATTGTCACTGGAACTGGTGACAATTTGAGCACTCAGACGTAACTCAGAACAAGCTAGCTCAGCACTTTTCCCAGCCCCTCAGAGGAAAGGAAAGGAAACGAAACGATGTGCCTAAATTAGGGAGGTGCTTTTTTCAGTGTCTAAACTGAGCGCTTTCACCAACCCACCTTCATGCTGACCACAAAACCTACACTAAAGTGGAGAGGACAGCTGACCCCAGCACAGTTCTCTTCTACTGACAAGCCAGAAAGCTGAACTGCTGCATCTCAAGGTGATCTGCAAATAAGGTTTACCCAAACAGTGACAGCCCAAGCCCTCAACAGCATTTTGGTGCCCAGCTTTCACTGGTGTCCCAACTGCAATGCGCGGAGAATCCTGCGCTCCCACAAACTGCATACTCAGCATTTTTCAGTGCACTTCTAGGTATGACAATGGGGATCTGGAGAGACACCATGGCATTAGCTGTGATCCTTCTGAGCACGAAAACACCTGAATTCTGGCCTCCTGAATGCAGAAGGTACTCAGGTGGAGTTTCAGGTACTTTCAAGGATGGCTCGCTGTCAGCTGCTGTGGCTCACTTTGGGTATTTCCAGAAGATATTCCAGAAGCAGTTTGGATTTTGCCCTAGATTTTTGAAGGACAAATTACCTAAGAAACTGTACGGTGCAAAAAGTAAATGCCAAAAATAGAGAAAAAATAGCTACCATTATGAGTACCTAACCGATGGGAAAAATTACCTTACACATCTTCTCAATATGTAAAATACAATTTATTGTATTTAGGCCATTCATAAGTATCAACACAATGTAGTATGTTTGAAACAAACATCTTACCAATAAATACTATCTAAACATTAATATTAATCTTTTGATCAAATGTGTACAGTGTATTGACTCAATATTGCACAGTGAGCTCTATATGACATTTCCATAGTGCATTCAGTTTGTTACAGGGATAGTTTGCCACATATATTGCAAAGCATCAGAGCTGACTTCTCCAAGTGCAAACAGCTGGACTATTTCATTAGGAACTGAAGGCTGACACAGTGTCAGTGTCCTGGGTTAACTGGTTATGGATTCACGGAACCTAATTATTTTCATGAATGAGGAGACTTTGTTTCTAATACCATTTTTATAGAATGGGAAAAAAAAATTTCCACTTTCGGATCGAATGAGGATATTGTCATCAAACCTATGTGAACAGGCAACTCACAGAATCACAGAATGTTAGGGGTTGGACTCCACTGATCAGTGAGCTTGTGATCAAGCTTACTACAGTAAGCTTGTTTTCTCCTGTTTCAATCTAAATATAAATCATATCTTTTATCTTTTCAGACATGTATCTCACCACTTGCATTTCAAAGGTCAGACTGTGCAAGCCCCCAGCATTACTCCAGCACTTTGCTCCCTACGTGCCTCTGCTCAGGTTAGAGTGAGTGAATACCTATCAGTACAAGTGTAGGTGACGCATTCTCGTCTCAATAGTTTTCAATGTATAAATGCAGATGTAATTCCCCAATAGTTCTATAATTAACCGTATCTCAGCCTTATCTGATCAAACCTTAATTCTATAGCAGCAGCTCCACATGGGGTAGGCCCTGCCGGTTTGTATGGCATTACCGTGCACACCCAGAGGGCCGGGTGCTGCCAGCAAGGTGGCGGCTGCGCTGCTTCCCCAAAGGCCGGCAGCTCCTGGATCAGATGGGCTCGTGTGCTCGGGTGAGCGTGGTATCAAACGTTGGCAGGAACCATGGCTCACAGCAGGTTTTCACCAACTCGCTGTTGTTCTTTCTCCAGACAAACTGTGACAAAACTACGTCCACGCCAGTGGGAGATGACTGTGAGAATAAGGACTGTACGATTTGGCTTGTGAGGTTTCGCCTGCATGTGCATGAACTTAGGCGGCTCTGGCATTGCAGAAGGACGTTAAGAAGGGCACTGACTGCCTTAATACCCGTTGAAGCTACGATGCCCTGCCAAAGCGGTATGAACCGATAAGAATCATGGCCGCAGAAAGACTATGACTGACTTGGAAAAGATTTGACCATCAGTATAATGGTGCTTAGTGCTTAGCATGTAGTACCCTTTAGTGCTTAGCATGTAGTACTCCTTTAAGTAAAAGAAAATTCACTCACCAAGTGATACAATTAAAAATTTCTAAGAAACTACTGGTTAAGTATTACCTCATGATTATGTAAATCATGTTTATATCCCTCCTCTTTGCAGTTTATCAGTTTGTATATAATTAGATTCTTTATATTCAGGTAACAGAGATGAAATACTTCTATTTAAAAAGACGGTAGGAAAAAGCAGGGATTGAAAGGATTTCTTTTCTGTACAAAAAATACATTTTTATGGCAACAGCCAGTACCTTCACAGCAGGTCCTTTGCTCCTCTACTTACTACACGTTTCAGTCATCCATAATGCCATCATAAAGTATCTTTTTTTTTTTCCACTTTTCAACATCAAAATTCAATGCACTACTACGGAATGTTTCCAAAGTCTTAATGCTACATCCTGATAAAATCAGGCTTTTTTTTTTTTAAATTTAAAACCGAACTAAATTCATGCAAATAAATACATAATGTGCACTGAAATACTCAATTCTATGATACAGGTGACTTCAGAGAAAAGTCCCTTTATAATTATCTAAACTAATTCTAATAAAAGAAGATAGTTTCAAAACACAATTTAAAACATTTCATTTTACTGCAAGTTGATGTTTGCTACGTGTTCAAGCAGATTACATTTTCTACCTAGTTGTGTTAATCTGTGGGCTCAGTGTAGCAAATACTCGATTTTGAGGGGTGGCTTTTTTATGCAGTTTTTGTAGTCCAGGGTTTCAGTCTTCATTTGATTCTGCACACAGGGTCTCAGGTTAAGCCCAGATCTGCAGAGAGAGAGTTGAACAACTGTTTATGATATCGACTATTCTGTCAAACAATTAAAATTTGGCATGGCAGTCAGATTAGTGGTACAGAGTATCAGCAGCAATGATATTATTTAACTCATAAAGTTCAAAATTTAACAGTTCTGCTAGCACTTTGTGGGGATTTTGTAAATTTGAATTTTATGTTTCTGTTCTGTGCTGTGTTTTTATATCCTCATTAGTCCCTCTAGAATCCATTTTCCTGTAACAACCCTTCACCCTCACTCACTTTTTTTAAAACAATCCCTGAGAGAAAGAAGCACCCAAAGCAGGTGCTCCCAGCACTTACTCGGAGGGTGTGGTCCCAGGAGCCCGAGCAGAACGCCGTGCCATCGGGAGAGACCCGCAAGGTGCTGACACGGTTTTCATGTCCAAACAGAATGGATACACGGGACCCTTTCAGCACATCCCAGACATTTATGGTGTAATCGTTATAGCCTGCAAACAGGAGGCGACCTACAAAGAGAATGAGATTGTTGTACAAGGTGAGGTCTTCAGTAGATAACACAAACGCGGTCAGGACCTTCTGCGGGACGTTCATCATGCGGTGAGCTACAGCCCAGCTTTCCCGTGCCACCCTCTGCACGCAGCGAGCCCTGAGCCCTGCTTCCTCCCTGCCAGGCACCCCTGCTCCACTGCTGAGCCAGCCATACCAAATGCTGAAACATGTAAAATCGACTGGATAAAAATATAGTTAAATTTAAGTTTAATTACATAGAATCTGTTCAGTCGTTAGAGATGGGGGATGGCTCCAAATCCCAACAGACTGAAGAGCATTTTAAGAGCTCTTATGCAGGGTAATAACATTTTGGTCAGACTTTAAGCAAGAAGTTGAATACAAATGGTTGAATGATTAGTAAACCATTTGGTAAGTGATTCATTGTCCCCAGTGAGACACGCTGTGGTGCTTCTGACCACGACAGAGATATTCTGTCCCAGGCAGAGGGTGGTTCACCACCCACTCATCCCCACACAGCGTGATGAGAGGAGCTCTGCATTTGTGCTGGCGCAGGAGAGAGAAGACTTGAGCTCACGTCTCTGGATCTGTAGTGAAAAATAATAATGTATCTGTCTTCATGGTCCTCTAACACACTTTTACTGTCTATTAATCATTTATTATCCTTTTAAAACTATTCATGTAAGTGCAGTTATTAGTCTAGTTACATTTCATGTTTCCTTTGAAATGTTCTTAATCATTATTGTGAAATTCTAAAGCTGTAGTTAACAGCAAAATATTTCCTGGCTTCAGTACAGTCAGGAAAATACTTTTCATTGCTACAATGCAGCTAGGCTATTTAAATTATAACTATTTTTACAGAGGCAAAAAAAGTCTTAATGTATTTTAGTTCTTAGTATTACTTTTAATAACAACTGCTTTATCAAATTAAACTGGGAAAATTTTACAGTTCCCCTCGTATCCCAACACTAAGATAACCTCCAAAGTTCAGGTCTCACCGCTGAGAGAGAAGTCCACACTGGATGCTCCAAAAATGATGCTCTCTTTGGAATAAATTGCTACTTCTCTGTCTGCACGGAGATCATATAAACGACACTAGGATTAAAACAAAACCAACACAAATACTTCAGTAAAGCCTGGAGTCAATGGCTACTACCTTTCATTGTAAAAATGGGAGTGGGAAGGACTCCAGCCTAACAGACATCGCGGGAAGTGGCTGCTTGGCTTCTTTCCTTCTGCTATTTCCACCCGCTGCATCCAGCACTTCTCTGGAGTCGAACAGGGATCTATGCAGCACAAGGCTGCTGTGTATAAACTGAGTGAAGAACTTGCTTTTCCAAGCTACTTCTCTAAGCCTCCTCCCTGTCCTGGCCTTTGGACCATGGCTACCCACTGAAAGTCTCCCCACCCTCTTGCTCCTCCACTGTGGTTTCCTACATATCAGGGCAGCCTGCTGCTGGGGAGGTGCAAGGGTACAGTCTCTAAAGACAACAGTTTAGCCACAGCTGGGGCCTGGGCGAGAGAGGATTAAATCTCTTTGTGAACACAGACCACATGGCGCAGTGCTCCGGCAGTCCCTTGGCATGGGGAAGCCTAGATGGTGGTGTCCTTGCTCAGAGTAAGGCAGGATAACAAAGAGCCCCTGCCCTTCCGTGAGGCCTCTCTCTCTGAAAAACCTACATGAAAATAATTCAAGTGAAATAATACATTTTTATACAGATCTTTGCTTTTCATTTCTCATGGAAAATCTCCAATCACCTCTACAATCTGCACTTCCTGTTTTTATCATTTGCCAGCACGCTTACGCTTGTTTAACATGGAAATAATGCATAGACAGACCTGACCTCATTGCCATGCAGAAAGGCAGTCTGTTAGCCCTGAAATCAAAATGCACTTTTGAAACTATTTGAACTGAAAATCTTCCTCGATGGTTTATGGGTTTGCTAATATCAAGACTTTACTAATGAAAAGTGGCTGGTATTCAAGCCTGCACATAAGAGAGGCTTTTCCACTTGCAGGGCAGTGGGGAGCTGCCAGGTGTGTGAAGTCCAGGTCTCCCAGTGCTCCACGCTGATGAATAATTCCGTCAGACTGTCCTGAGAGGGAGTTGGGGTCACCGCAGGTGACAGCACTGCCACGTGAGCACACTTTTATGGTTTCCCTCCAGACAGTCAGGATTATCAGTTCCTCGAAATCCCTAAGTATATAAATCAGGTCAAGGATACCAGTCAGCGTATCAGTCCATACTGCTGAAAACACCAACCTCTTTGATTAAACAGTGAAGGAGATGGAAACTGACAAAGCCTCTGCTGAAAGTACAGAGATGGAATTTCCCATTCTCCTGCTCAAGTTGGAGGCGTCAGAAATAGTTAAGAGAGAAAAATCTGATCAAATAAATTAATAAGCATAGGAGCCATGAGCCTGTAGCACTACGCATAAAAAGAGAGTGCTCTCATTGGAATTTAATGATGGACAAGTTTTCCATCTTGATCCCTCAACGTCTCAAGTGCTCACAGTACCACATCTGAACATGCGGAGAGCCACCGGGCTCACCACAGAGCTAGAGGTATTAACTTATAATTGCAGCTTTTAAGACCTAAAAGCAGCATACACTCTCTATAAGAGCCTTGGGAGGTCTGACATCAGTGAAGACAAAGGGAATATTTCTATCGAGTTTAGCTGGTGTTGGAGCAGACTCAAAACATGCTCTGCAGGACGACTTTAGAAAGAGTCTCATGCAGCATCATGTGATGTTTGAATGAACAGGAGAAACAAGGTACCAGGTGCCTCCCAAACATCTGCTCGAGTTACACTTAACTGCCAGCTCAGTTCCTGCAGGGCTGTGGTGCAGGCAGAGCCTGGTCCCCATGGGGACCCACCAGCTGCAGCAAGAGCCACCAGTCATGTGCATCACTCAGGGGCCCGAAGGCACCAGGAGACAAGTGGCATTTTGCATACAATGTGCTAACCAAAATCATCTGTCAATACACACTGTGCCCCTCCTAGCAGCTTGCTCATAGGTAAGTAAGACCCAGTAAGAGCTATTGTATCATCTGGGATGACCTGTATGCAGTGACTCATGGCAGTGAAGAGCGTTGACAGTGAGTCAGGCTGGCAGGGAGGAGATGTACCTGGCCAAGGCCACCCTGGAGCTGTGCTCTCAGGATGCACAGGGCTGTGGGAGCCAGCTGACTGGGTCTGCCCAGCTCTGCACTGAGCCCACGGCCCCTCTGCTTGCCGGGACGTGCACGCTCATGTGCAGGCTCCCTGCATGCACTTGCCCAGTGCTGCTCCTTCTGACACAAGCTGCAGCATTTCATAGAATCATAGAACGGCTGGGGTTGGAAAGGACCTTAAGATCATCTACCTCCAACCCCCCTGCCATGGGCAAGGACACTTCCCACTAGGCCGGGTTGCTCAAAGTCCCGTCCAACCTGGCCTTGAACGCTTCCAGGAATGAGGCATCTCGACCTCCCTGGGCAACCTGTTCTAGCATCTCATCACCCTCATAGTGAAGAATGGTTCATCTGGTTCCTCCCATGTTGTGATCAACAACTGTATGAAGCCAAACCTCTTCCCGTAAGACAATTAATTGTGAACTTCAAAACACAGAAAATCTGAAATTAATATTTGGACAGTACCTCACGTTAGAAAGGGTTGCAGCGGTGACCTACAAAGTGTTACTAGACTTCCCCTACAGAATTATAAACAGTATTTAATATATATTACACTACAGCTTTATTATTTCTGCAACTTCGGTGTCACAAGCCCAGTTTAGTCAAAGTCCTCCACGGATGTGACTTACTCTTTTAAGAAAATTTGACTTGGGAAGTAACAGAATTTCCCTAAATAAGATTACTGAATTAACATACCGTGGCATCATCTGAACCAGAAGCAAAAGCATCTCCACTTGGGTAATATCTGCACATAAGTAAAAAAAGACCAGAACACATTACACGACTTGAATGAGGTCAGACTTCCAAAATAGAACCAGTGCATTGCTCAACATCGCAAATGTGTCCTCTGCGAGAAACATACTGACCTGACACTGTTGATATCTGAATCGTGGGTTTCAAATGACTGGATGCACTGACCAGACCGCATATCCCAAACCATGGCTTTCTTGTCACATCCCTAGTAAGACAAAGAAAATGCCCTGCAGTTGTGCAAACAGTGACATTCACCCCTCATGTGCCTGATACACATCATCGAGCCCAGCCACATTCAAAGGCTCTGAAGGGATTTAACCAGCCAAGCAGTTCCAGAACTGGCTGTACCGGTACCCCTGAGCCTGGTGCAGCTGCAGTTAGGAGCAAAGGATGCCACCACGGCTGGAGCCCCAGCCATGCTGCAGAGCAGCCAGGGCACAGCACTGGTGGGCAGCACAGCAGGGAGCAGCTGGGCCGGGGGTGCTGATGCAGGCAGCCCCCTCTCCACCGGCACTCACGCCCTGCGCTGCTTGTGCTGCTGCCGTGCCTGCACCTGCAGTCGCTCTGTGCCACAGAGCTGCATAACTGACTCACTGCCTTACCACTTCACATGCCCAATATAAAAAATTAATATCCAGCATTTAAAGTTTTATAATTCATTCTTCTCATACACTGAAATAGAAAATGAAATAAGGGCAGCCGGAGGGTCTCTTGCCTGGTCTCCTCCCAGAGTTAACCCCTGCCATGGGTCTGCACCCATGTGCCCAATGATGTGGCTGAGACGAGAAAAGAAGTATAACAGCATTTCATCTCCTTGTCAAGCTCTAACCTGCCCTTCCAAGCTGTGCTCTGAAGAGGTTGTTTAACACTCGGTGCTTGCTGTGAGGTGCTCAGAGCCCCGAACGCTTTGGGCAAGGGGCTCAGGCCATTTAGTCTGCAATGTCCTCGAGGCAGGAACCGTCTCCTACTTGTAGGACCATGCTCGCGGCTGCAATGTCTCACTGCTATCACAACTACGATGACAGGAAAAAGAACATGGACTTTTCTTTTAGGAGTGACAGGAGATTTTAATAAACATGACCCTGCTGAAGGGCAGGCTGTAGGGAGGCTCAGCTCTGGGGAGGCTTAGCCCCTCTGAGGCTGCGTGGGAAGCCCAGGGCAGGCCAGGCAGTGGCTGCTTCTGCCAAGCTAGTGCATCCTGCCCAGCAGACCATACCACACATGGTATCTATTTTTATGAAAACATGATTGCTAATTAAACTTAACAGTCTCTTCACAATTCACATCATTTTCTCTTGTTTTTTCCTTGAATTATCTTTTCTTTATGAATCATGTCATTTTTTTAAAAAGAGGTAATGTTCCTTTGTTCCAACTTGTGGTGTCTGCTCAGGGGAAACCAAAGAGGACAGAGAACATTTTGGACTCAGCACATTTCCCTCTGAAGCCCTACCACAGCCCAAGCCCAGCCCTTCACATTGCTTCCACCTGCACTGTTCTTACTGACCTCTCAGGGTGTTTGAGAGCAAGACCAATCTGACAAGCTGGTGCTTTGACTCCTAACGTTTTGAAGGAGAAGCCACCTGCAGAGAGATGGGCCCCCTGAGTGCCATCCAACTCGCCCTGAGGAGCAGCACTCAGAGGGCACTGAGTACAACAGACCAGGACACAGCCCTGAGCAAAACCAGAAGGGCTGAGATTTTCTGTAACCGCATCCAGTCTACACGCTGATGTATTGGTTTTGCTCATTCCAGCTCAAGGTTACTGCACTACATAGGTGGAATATACAGGGAGTCTCTCTGTGCTGCCGTACCTTTAGGTTGCACTGGTTTGGTTATACCTGCATTGACACGACACAAGATAGATTTTAACTGAAGTGGAATTTCACATGTGATGAATTAAGCGAGTCCCTCTAAGCATAGACATGCCCAAGCTGCTACATCAACACAAGTATGACATATTCCCTTAGCACTACCATAGCTGCTTGCGATTCTTTGCCCTATTATAAGCTGAGCTGTTCCCAGGGAGAGTTAATCTATCCTTTCTGGGAAGCAAGCTCAGTGTCAGGAAAACCCGGGAGGAGTAATGCACTCATATGGAATTAGCTTTCAGTCACGCTTCGGAGCAGCTGTGCTAGCAGCAAGCAAACTGGGCCACTGTGCTGGACTCTACTCCTGATGGGCCAGCCAAATTTGAGGAAAGGGCCATAACAGAAGAAGTCCAGGTTTATTGTATAGGGATGAGACCATGACCCTGAGCACAAGTGAAATCCCCTAATCCATGGTTCAGACCCTGTGGCACAAGGGCCATTTCCATCAACAAGCACAGGACCTGCCCTGGGCCAGCGCTGCAGAGGCTCACAAACCAGGTACCTTCAGCAAAATTGCCAGGAGTAACCTGTCTCCAGTAAGAGAGGTCATTCTTAGTTCCTGCCAGCTCTCACCTGCACTCTCAATTTATGACGTGGAAAAGTCTAGGACCATCTCAGAAAGAAGCTCACCCTCATCCCGCTCACCTTTATGCCTTGCCTGCCTCACTGCCAGGCTGCATGCCAATGGCTTGACTGTCCAGAAACAGCGAACCCTCAGCAGCAGGACAAGATTTGGAAGATGCCCTGGGTACTTTCCCACCCCAGTCCTGCAGCCCCAGCAAGGTTTGCGTGTTCCTCTGGGCCAGGAGAGGGAGTGGGCAGCATTCGACTGATGAAGGGCTTTAAATGCCTCTGGTACCGCTGCAAGGCACAGGAGATTTGGCAACAGCTGAAGATGTGGCCACACCTCATCTCCCTGCTCCAACTTGTATGAGGGTTTAACCAGCATCCAACCTAGCCCTTGGCTTCTGGGGAGTGGCTGAGGGACATGGTGGCACGCAGGTTATTTGCAGCCCCACTTCAATTCCCTGAGCAGCCGCCTGGCACACCCTGTCCAGCTCCAGAGAGCCAGGCACAACGAAGGAGCCAAATGCGGGAGGTTGTCTGCTCTGCTGGGCTCCCGTCCACAGGGGCTCACACCTCTGCTGCAGTATGAGCCCGCTGCATAACCCCAAGCCGTTCCTTTTCCAGCAGAGGCGTTGTTTTGATCTTGGGCTGGACTGCTTTGGTGTGGGGTGGAATTTGCTAAGAAAGCAGAACTGCAGTCAGACTGGCTGGGTGGGTTTGACCCCACAGTCAGGGGTTTAATTTGCTCCAGCTTGGAAAATGTGCTTGCAATGAGTGGATTGCAGTGGGGCTTCCAACACGTACTCCAGCGCTCCCTGAATAAGACCACGAGCCTCCTATTTTGCTGCCTTTTCCCTTCCACATTCCTTATTTTATATTACGATAGGAAGCTCCCACTTACCCCAGAAACAAATGTATTTCCCGTTTCAGAAGGGGCTAGGTCCAGGCACAGGACATCAGCTCCATGACCATGGAAACTCTGTAGAAGCTGCCCACTCTCAACATCCCACAGAGCACAAGTTCCATCTCCACTTGCTGTCAGGATCTGTAGGATGTTGCAAGAAGAGTCACAATAGAAAATCAGCAGATGATCTTCAAGTTCACAAAGAAACAACTAACATCCTATACGTACATCAATTTCATGCAGTATTATGCAATAAAAGCCATAAATCCAATGTGAATCTAAGCACAGTTTATGTTTGTTATTTTTAAGGCAACAAGTTAGAGTGGAAAGGAGAACTCTACCGACACTGCTACACCTCACGGTGTTTCAATAGTGGTCAGTTTTGTGCAGTGGGTTTTGGAGAACTGATAGCAATAAGGATCTGCTGGCATTTTCACACCCTCCAAAAAGAAGGTAGGTCCACACTGTTATTCTTGTCTGCTCCTCTATGTAACCCTATCCACATTTAGGCTGCTGGAATTCAACCCAGGTAAAAAGAACCCTTGGAGTTAAGTATACCTGTTTAACCATTCAATTTATTTTTTTTCTGCTTGAAATAACCAAGTTTAACCCAATTAATTTGGCTTACGACATGGATTTTCTGAAAGGGAAGTAAGCCTGTCTAGACAGTTGTTTAATAAGACCATCATCTCTCACTTGTCCAAAACCATTTGTGTGTGAAAGGGCTTGAACATACACTGACTGAACACAGCTCCCAGCTCCCCTCATCTGCTACAGTGCTTGCAGAAAGCACATGTGATCAGTGCTTGTTATTGTGGCTAAATCCTGGTGATACTCAATTGTTCAAAATTTCCCCTTGGCACCCAACGCTGTTATGCAATCACCAATTCTGTAAGTTGAAAGGGACCCTGTGCACTGGAGTGGAAGGAGGCAAGGATGAACTGAGGAGGGCTCTCAGCCTTGTTCCTAGATCTTTCTCATGGTCAGTGAGGAAAACTCAAGGGATCCCAGAGGGTAGTTAGAAGTTAAAAAGAAAACACTATTTTAGAAGAAAATGATCACACAATCATGAAACCGTTCACAGAGTTGCATAAAGGTTAAACACTGAACATGTTTGACAGATGCACCAAAAACTCCTCCCATAAACAGAGGTCTGCAAACTGCAGAACAGGCTGTTCCAAATCCTGCAGTAGAGAGACGCTAATACTCTGAGACGGTAATAGCAGAAGAATGTCCTGACTTGTCTTTCTGGACAGCTTTTGAGCCTAGATCAATGAACTTCTCTGTTCTGAGGAATATTTGTAGTTGGCTGAAGAATTAAGACTTTCATCTCCGATGATCTGTTCTTGTAATAGTGTGTAACAAAGATACACAGGGATCAGGAGTAGCTAAAGCTGTAAGGGAAGGGTCAGGCAACCCAAAGATCCAGCTAATAAAGAGAAACATTACGGACTCACCTGCAGGGTATTGCTCTTGAAAACAAAACAAATTCAAACCAAGCAAGCAAAAAAACCTCTCCAAAAGTCCAAAACCAGAAAGGAATTGAGAGTCTTTGCTATCAGACTCCAGCTTGCTGCATGAGGGGCTCCGGCAGTGCTGGATGCAGATCCTCACCTGGCGGCAAGAGGCAGCACTTGCACAGGGCAGGGGGCAGCAGGGACACGGGGGCCCAGGGACACGGGGACACAGACCCTGCTTCACAGGAGCACCCGCACCCGCCGGGGCTGGGAGAGTGGTGAGGGCACAGGGGCCACCCTCACCTCTGCCTCCTCCACCATCACCACAGGCCTCATCCTGCTCCTCAGCCCGGCTGCACCAGCAGCGTGACAGAACGCTTGAGATCCCAATTAACTGTTGCTATTAATACACACGGAGCATTGTCACGTGGGAAGCATTATCATGCTGCAGAGCTGCACATACCTAATTTAGGACAGGAGGCTCCCCGGCTCCCTGTGTACTGAGGCAGCAGAGGCTCCCTCTGGCAAGGCAGATCTGGGGCACTGAGAACAAGGCGTGCGGCTCGCCCTGCCCTGTGGCTCAGTGCTGGTCTTGGCCAAGGTGGGAATGTGATGAGAAGCAAGAATGGGACCTCCTCTTTCAGCACCCACAGAACCTAAGACTGGCTTTAATCAATGAAGAACCACCCTCAGACCTCCTGTTTTTCCATTGCACTGGCAAAAGACCATGGGCACACCAGGCCCTAGGAAACTCCTACTCTGTCTTTCATTCCTCTGAGGGAAAGCTGAGCTGTAGTTTAGGAGAGCAGCCAAGGCAGAGCAGCAGCATTCACAGCACCCAGCAGTGGGCGCTGGGTGCCACGCGGGCACTGGGCTGGGGGACACCTCCGACACGTGCTAGGGCTGCTCCACGACAGGTACGACATCCCTCAGTGACACGAGCTGCGAGAGCAGAGCTGCTCCGCACACAGCTGGGAAAGCTCCTGCACAGCGTGCTTGTTGCACTGTGTGCCCTCAGAGACACCGAGTAATTTTGAGATTGCTATGTAAAAGGAAAAAGAGAGGAAATCTGGGATCCCCTACACAGGGCTAGGACAAAGGTTGGACTTGATGATCTTGAAGGTCTCTTCCAACCAAAACTGTTCTACGATCCTATGATTCTATGATAACAGTGCCCTAATAGAAGCTTGGCCAATCCATGTGCTTGTATTTGTTTCAATAATATCATGCAGTGCTCTAAATGATCACTTACCAGCCTATTAATTACAAGAAAATTTCCTTTTAAAGTCTTCAGAAATTACTGAATATAAAGCACCTAAAGGCACTGTGGTATTATTTAACAGTAATAATACATTACCTTCAATATCAATGCAGTTTGCTGTATTTAATATAGAGAAAAGAGACCCAACCTTTTTTTTAAATTATAAAAAATAACTATTTTTCCTTTAATAAAATTTCATCACAATGTGTACATGTATGGACAAGAAAAGAGAATAGTGGTTTTCTACTTCATCAGAAAAATTCCACTTAATTTAGCCTGCTCTAATTATTCAGGGCTCCTGCACAGTAAGGTCAGGGCTAAGCAAGCCTGAGAGCTGGGTACCTCCACCACTTGTTTCCATGGCAATAGACTTAAATTAGCACCTCCGAGTCATTACAGAAACCATAGAACGAACGACAAACAAGAACATACTCTCAGGCATCATGTCCTGAAATAGAAGCAATGAAAGCTTATATTTCCTTCAGAAGAGCTCCAAATATCTGGAAGAAGGGGACAAGGTATTCCCTTTCCATCAGCTCTGCTGACACAGAGAGCAATTAAAATGCTCACTTCTGCCACTTATTTTTCTGCAGAGCTGCACCGAGCAGAGCTTCAATTAAACTGAAAAACCAGAGAGGACAAGGGGATTATCGTGGCTACTTTCATCATCTTCTGTGTTCCCGGAGAAAGAGATCTTTGAGGTACTCACTACAGAGGAAGGCTGGCCTGATCTCAGAAGATCTGCATTTAGCTCCTGGCATTTCCATCATCTCCCACTGTGGGCCTCTGCTCCAAACCCCTCCCTGGCTGTGAGATGGGGATGGCGTCACTCCTTTCCCTCAAGGGAACACCACACTGTTGTATGGACAACAGGGCTGGCCCTGTGGGGCCATCCTCAAGCTCAAATATCTCACTTGGTACAAACAAAAAATACTAAGAATGAAAGCAAAAGCAAAGTTGGCTGGATGGTCAGGACAAAGCAGGCAAACACAGTCTCTATTGGCTGGCATAGCACATACCCAACCTAGTCCTACCTGAACTGGGTTTTTAACTTAGTTTGAGCTCCTAAAAACACAAGTCAGCACTGATCCACTGAGCAGAGAACACCCTGGTACCAGTGAGCTTGCTCTGCAGAAGCGACAGGCCTTTGCAGGGCGCAGGCATGACAGCTGCCCACAGGCTGTGACAAGCGCTTCCTCACGGCGATGTTTGCAGCACCTTCATTGCCCCCAGTGAGTTTTCCAGCAGCCCCTGCACAGGGCAGGACACGGCCCTGGATGCAAAGAAGGTTACCTGCACCACGTGCAAGTGCAGCTCACGTTAGGTGCTGCCAGATGGTGAGAACGCGTCACAAATGCATTTACCTGCATGTCTGAGTTAGTGAAGCTGCAGGCAGACAAGTAGTTTGTGTGCATTGCAACCGATTTCTTCTTCGCAGCCATGTTTTCATTTTTCTCGAATGTCAGAGGGTACACAGAACACTTGTTGTCCAGGCCACTAAAGAGAGTAATAATAGCAATACAGAGAGAGGAGAACTGGTTAAAACTGCAACGACAAAAGGCGAGTGGTGATAAGGAGGAAACCACCTGTCAGAGCTGTGCTGCCAAAGCCTTACAAGTACCGACTTCCCTGTATTGTGCTGTCCTGTCCGGGATCTCCCTGTGCAGGGAAGCCCCAGCTGCCTCACCAGGCTGGCTGCTTTACAGAACTTGAACAGCTGCACCTCAGTATTTTTCACCCTCATCAAGTTTATAAATTGCAGTGAATGAAGCCTCACGAAAATATAAACTGGGAGGTGACATAGCAGTCACCTCAGGATTAACGTTTCACATACAGCCAAACTGCTGTCTTTCTGTTGACCATCATTGTGAGGTTCAGTATTTAAGCATCATTACTTATCTACCTTAATCAATTTGACCTAACTCCTATGGAAGAGATGGTAGAGCAAGTAGTGGGTGTAAAGACAGGGCTTTCAGAAGGGCTCTGTAGCTGATGTGTCCCTCCTGGCCAGTTGCACCAGTTAAGCTGTGTTCCTCAGGTCAAACACAGGACTCTTTTCTAGAGAGTCTGACTTGTGCCTGTCCCTTTCCTAGAGCCACGGTAGATTAGTCCTGCCCTGCTCCCCAGGATCCCAGCACAACATACCACCAGCTGCTGGTTCTGTGCCTTACATTACGTGCACAGCACTTAACTGACAGCACAACAGAAACACAGGATGAGGCAGTGCAATGCATATATGTCCTCCCTTTCCCTCTTACAAGTGTGAAGACAGAGCTTCTCATCATTCTTTGATGTTTTGCCAGCATCTCATCTCTTTGTTTCCTCTCCTGTATAAACTCTTTTTTTCAAACCTGAGCTCTCAGAAAACTTGGAGAAGATTATCAAGCATGGGGTTACTTCTCCTCACTCCCTTTTAGCAAGATCTATTCACGTGCTGGTAATCATTAAGGACTATCCTTCTCTACATGGTAGGAGAAAGAGTGTGAAGTATGAACGGGGTTAAAAACTCTCTCCCTTAGAAGATACATCCAACAGATAAAACCAAGCTGGAACAGGAAAGGTGCATGCGTGCAGAATTCCTACCCCATGATATAAATGCTGAAATAGGATTATTTTCCAGGCTTAACCAACACATGTTATTGCACTGAAGTCAGTGGAGACAAATGTGCACGAGCAATTATGGGAACAGAATCAGAGGCACTGAGTGTAGTCCTTCCACCCACAACCAAGGCACACGAACCTCTAGCTGTCAGCATCTGCAGGCACTGGGACACCACTACAAATCAAGCTTCTCCATGTAAGCAGTTGTGGAAACTGGGAACTTACCCGCAAGCAATTGCACATCCAGACGGGGCATACGCACACGCCATCACCCAGGTACACGGCATCGTCACTGCATGTTCCTGAAACACAGCATCTCTTTAAACTGGCACGTCACTGTTTCTCTAATCAGTGCAAGGAAAGGAGCGTAGAGTAATAAGGGCAGTATTTCTGTGGGGTATTCTTAGGGTGTTTCCTCCAGCCATAACTCACACACGAGGCTGGGACACCTTTACTGCAGAGCCCAGCAGAGGAGCAGAAGGATGGCTCAACTCTCCCTGACACTTTCCACCTTATTCATAGCCTCAAACTGATCACAGAACATGTTTATTGAGTTATTCAGTGCTGTGAAAGGTCCTTGCTACTGCATGTGTAAAAGCGAGCTACAGACAAACTGGTTTTTCTCAGTCATGCAGAGCAGGGTGCCACTAGGCAGCCCTGGCAGGGCTTGGAGGAGCAGCAGTACCATTTCACAGTGAGAACCACGGCTGAAGGATCCCGGCTGATCACACGCAGCACCTGGTACAGGGGCTACCCCAGGAGAGCCTCTGTTCTGCTCAGTGGGCTTTGCCCCCCGGCAGGAGCCCTTATCCCACTGTCGTTTACCCTGTGCACAGAAACTTTTGCTGAAGTTTCACTTACCTTGTTGGTAGTGAAGGAATCCCATACGATCACCTTCCCGTCCTAAATGAAAGCACACGAACAGAGAGAAATTGAGGCCTTCCAGAGACATGACTGCCAGCCAACTTCCCAGAACTGGGGAAAACGCTGCTGCTCATGTCCATCCCCCAGTTTGTTATGTCATGAAATTTTTTACTCCCCTTTAACAACAGCACAATGCAAAACACCCAGGAGACACTTCTCAGTAATGTCAGTTATGTCTTAGACCATGAGAAAAGCAGATTTCCTCCTCACTGAGATGACTGATGTCACCTTAAAAGACTAATTCTTTAAACTATTTTTTCCCTTCACTTTTAGGGGGTTTATGAGAACTCCTCTCATTTGCAGCACATGCCATGGACAGGGCCATCTCCTCGTGAAGGTGGCACCAGCAAGCCCTCACTCGCCTCCTCTCAGCCACAATGCCTTGCTCTCAGCCTGCAATCAGTACCTAAAAAGCCAGACACCTCTCCCAAGAGAGATCTGTCAGTGGCTCCGCACAGGGCCTTACAGGTGACCTGTATTAAAAATCACTTGCCAGGCTGGCAGCACCCCTGAGGACTATTTACAAACATTGCACTGTTTATTCACCTTCCCTTTCCTGTCTTCTGGTTTTCCCTTTGCTTTTCACTACACTGACTTAACCTTCAGTTACCCATTGATACGATCTGCTAAACAGCATTCCTAAGAACCCTCCACGGGGAGTGACACAATAACTTTGTGTATGCCAGCTACACTCATGCCACCTACTTTGCTTCAAACACATAATATCATTATCCTTCCATATTGTGAAAGTGAAATATTTATTACTGAGAAACAATTCTTGCTGTACCTGGACTCACTACAGTTCTTAAAATACAGCAAAAAATGCATTAAAATTTGCCTGTTCACCTTTCTGATCTACACACTGACATTTTAACCACTTTAAAAAACGCGCCATCACTTATTTAAAATCATTCCCTTTGCTGAGATCACCATGAATGGTAAAAACTCACAGTAACTGAAGGTGGCTTGCAATGCAGATTGCCTATTTTTATCCCTCAAGTGAGACCCCTGATAGATTTCATGTAAGTCGACGGAACAGCTGTGAGATGGAACAAGCTCACTCACTGCCACACTGGGCTCAGGATGAACCAGGGAAGTAATTATCTCATTACCTCCTCCAGCTCATGAGATTGGTTTTGAGCAGGTGTTAGGACTGTTTCTCAAAATACCGAAGTAAATGCAGTAATTTTGGCAGGATGTTTGAGGCTTTCAAGGTCACACCAGCCATATAGACTTCAGAAGAAATTTCTGTGCACAGAAATCTCTAGAAGAATCAACATTTCTTCTCTTCCCTTTTCCTGATTATTTTCTCTGAACACATAAATGTAAATCATTACTGAATATTTCATCTGTAAAGAACAAGGAAGTAGAAGTGGCCTCAGATGAGTTCTGTTGTAGCAGGGAACATTGGGAAAATCTGTATACGACCAGACAAGATATATTTAAGCTATTAGCTACAACAGGTGTAGTGATGATCATCAACTTGCATTTATGCTCTTGGAACAAATACATCACCAATGAACTGCTTTAAGGCCATCTTGAAAACACTTACACTATCCACAGGCATCATCCGCAAAGAGTGGCCCATAGCACAGCCAAAACACTTGTGGAGTGTCTGGCAGCAGCTCTGAAAAATGTCTGCCCAATAGCATACCTGGGAAGAGCTCACAATTCTTCTCTTGTCTTTGCACCAGTCCATGCAGAGAACTTTATTTCCGTGGCCCTTCAGGGTCCTCCTGGTCTTCATCACAAACTGGCCCAGTGCCTCCACACGCTCTGCCACCTGATGAACTGCAAACAGCTGATGGTTAGAGAGTCCCGCATCAAAGCTCTGCCCTGGCAAATCTCTACGAGTAATGTCATTTGGAGGAATTAATCCATGAATCACAGAATCACAGAATGTCAGGGG